AACACATGGGTCATTCGTGACCGTGATCTCTCAAACACATGTGTCATTCGTGACCGTGATCTCTCAAACACATGTGTCATTCGTGACCGTGATCTCTCAAACACATGTGTCATTCGTGACCGTGATCTCTCAAACACATGTGTCATTCGTGACCATGATCTCTCAAACACATGTGTCATTCGTGACCGTGATCTCTCAAACACATGGGTCATTCGTGACCGTGATCTCTCAAACACATGTGTCATTCGTGACCGTAATCTCTCAAACACATGTGTCATTCGTGACCATGATCTCTCAAACACATGGGTCATTCGTGACCGTGATCTCTCAAACACATGTGTCATTCGTGACCGTGATCTCTCAAACACATGTGTCATTCGTGACCGTGATCTCTCAAACACATGTGTCATTCGTGACCATGATCTCTCAAACACATGTGTCATTCGTGACCGTGATCTCTCAAACACGTGTGTCATTCGTGACCGTGATCTCTCAAACACATGTGTCATTCGTGACCGTGATCTCTCAAACACATGTGTCATTCGTGACCGTGATCTCTCAAACACATGTGTCATTCGTGACCGTGATCTCTCAAACACATGTGTCATTCGTGACCGTGATCTCTCAAACACATGTGTCATTCGTGACCGTGATCTCTCAAACACATGTGTCATTCGTGACCGTGATCTCTCAAACACATGTGTCATTCGTGACCGTGATCTCTCAAACACATGGGTCATTCGTGACCGTGATCTCTCAAACACATGTGTCATTCGTGACCGTGATCTCTCAAACACATGGGTCATTCGTGACCGTGATCCCTCAAACACATGTGTCATTCGTGACCGTGATCTCTCAAACACATGTGTCATTCGTGACCGTGATCTCTCAAACACATGTGTCATTCGTGACCGTGATCTCTCAAACACATGTGTCATTCGTGACCGTGATCTCTCAAACACATGGGTCATTCGTGACCGTGATCTCTCAAACACATGTGTCATTCGTGACCGTGATCTCTCAAACACATGTGTCATTCGTGACCGTGATCTCTCAAACACATGTGTCATTCGTGACCATGATCTCTCAAACACATGTGTCATTCGTGACCGTGATCTCTCAAACACATGGGTCATTCGTGACCGTGATCTCTCAAACACATGTGTCATTCGTGACCGTGATGTCTCAAACACATGTGTCATTCGTGACCGTGATCTCTCAAACACATGTGTCATTCGTGACCGTGATCTCTCAAACACATGTGTCATTCGTGACCGTGATCTCTCAAACACATGTGTCATTCGTGACCGTGATCTCTCAAACACATGTGTCATTCGTGACCATGATCTCTCAAACACATGTGTCATTCGTGACCGTGATCTCTCAAACACATGTGTCATTCGTGACCGTGATCTCTCAAACACATGTGTCATTCGTGACCGTGATCTCTCAAACACATGTGTCATTCGTGACCGTGATCTCTCAAACACATGGGTCATTCGTGACCGTGATCTCTCAAACACATGTGTCATTCGTGACCGTGATCTCTCAAACACATGTGTCATTCGTGACCGTGATCTCTCAAACACATGTGTCATTCGTGACCGTGATCTCTCAAACACATGTGTCATTCGTGACCGTGATCTCTCAAACACATGTGTCATTCGTGACCATGATCTCTCAAACACATGTGTCATTCGTGACCGTGATCTCTCAAACACATGGGTCATTCGTGACCGTGATCTCTCAAACACATGTGTCATTCGTGACCGTGATCTCTCAAACACATGTGTCATTCGTGACCGTGATCTCTCAAACACATGTGTCATTCGTGACCGTGATTTCTCAAACACATGGGTCATTCGTGACCGTGATCTCTCAAACACATGTGTCATTCGTGACCTGATCCCTCAAACACATGTGTCATTCGAGACCGTGATCTCTCAAACACGTGTGTCATTCGTGACCGTGATCTCTCAAACACATGTGTCATTCATGACCGTGATCTCTCAAACACATGTGTCATTCGTGACCGTGATCTCTCAAACACATGTGTCATTCGTGACCGTGATCTCTCAAACACATGTGTCATTCGTGACCGTGATCTCTCAAACACATGGGTCATTCGTGACCGTGATCTCTCAAACACATGTGTCATTCGTGATCGTGATCTCTCAAACACATGTGTCATTCGTGACCGTGATCTCTCAAACACATGTGTCATTCGTGACCATGATCTCTCAAACACATGTGTCATTCGTGACCGTGATCTCTCAAACACATGGGTCATTCGTGACCGTGATCTCTCAAACACATGTGTCATTCGTGACCGTGATCTCTCAAACACATGTGTCATTCGTGACCGTGATCTCTCAAACACATGTGTCATTCGTGACCGTGATCTCTCAAACCCATGGGTCATTCGTGACCGTGATCTCTCAAACACATGTGTCATTCGTGATCGTGATCTCTCAAACACATGTGTCATTCGTGACCGTGATCTCTCAAACACATGTGTCATTCGTGACCATGATCTCTCAAACACATGTGTCATTCGTGACCGTGATCTCTCAAACACATGGGTCATTCGTGACCGTGATCTCTCAAACACATGTGTCATTCGTGACCGTGATCTCTCAAACACATGTGTCATTCGTGACCGTGATCTCTCAAACACATGTGTCATTCGTGACCGTGATCTCTCAAACACATGTGTCATTCGTGACCATGATCTCTCAAACACATGTGTCATTCGTGACCGTGATCTCTCAAACACATGGGTCATTCGTGACCGTGATCTCTCAAACACATGTGTCATTCGTGATCGTGATCTCTCAAACACATGTGTCATTCGTGACCGTGATCTCTCAAACACATGTGTCATTCGTGACCATGATCTCTCAAACACATGTGTCATTCGTGACCGTGATCTCTCAAACACATGGGTCATTCGTGACCGTGATCTCTCAAACACATGTGTCATTCGTGACCGTGATGTCTCAAACACATGTGTCATTCGTGACCGTGATCTCTCAAACACATGTGTCATTCGTGACCGTGATCTCTCAAACACATGTGTCATTCGTGACCGTGATCTCTCAAACACATGTGTCATTCGTGACCGTGATCTCTCAAACACATGTGTCATTCGTGACCATGATCTCTCAAACACGTGTCATTCGTGACCGTGATCTCTCAAACACATGTGTCATTCGTGACCGTGAACTCTCAAACACATGTGTCATTCGTGACCGTGATCTCTCAAACACATGGGTCATTCGTGACCGTGATCTCTCAAACACATGTGTCATTCGTGACCGTGATCTCTCAAACACATGGGTCATTCGTGACCGTGATTTCTCAAACACATGTGTCATTCGTGATCGTGATCTCTCAAACACATGTGTCATTCGTGACCGTGATCTCTCAAACACATGTGTCATTCGTGACCATGATCTCTCAAACACATGTGTCATTCGTGACCGTGATCTCTCAAACACATGGGTCATTCGTGACCGTGATCTCTCAAACACATGTGTCATTCGTGACCGTGATCTCTCAAACACATGTGTCATTCGTGACCGTGATCTCTCAAACACATGTGTCATTCGTGACCGTGATCTCTCAAACACATGTGTCATTCGTGACCATGATCTCTCAAACACATGTGTCATTCGTGACCGTGATCTCTCAAACACATGGGTCATTCGTGACCGTGATCTCTCAAACACATGTGTCATTCGTGATCGTGATCTCTCAAACACATGTGTCATTCGTGACCGTGATCTCTCAAACACATGTGTCATTCGTGACCATGATCTCTCAAACACATGTGTCATTCGTGACCGTGATCTCTCAAACACATGGGTCATTCGTGACCGTGATCTCTCAAACACATGTGTCATTCGTGACCGTGATGTCTCAAACACATGTGTCATTCGTGACCGTGATCTCTCAAACACATGTGTCATTCGTGACCGTGATCTCTCAAACACATGTGTCATTCGTGACCGTGATCTCTCAAACACATGTGTCATTCGTGACCGTGATCTCTCAAACACATGTGTCATTCGTGACCATGATCTCTCAAACACGTGTCATTCGTGACCGTGATCTCTCAAACACATGTGTCATTCGTGACCGTGAACTCTCAAACACATGTGTCATTCGTGACCGTGATCTCTCAAACACATGGGTCATTCGTGACCGTGATCTCTCAAACACATGTGTCATTCGTGACCGTGATCTCTCAAACACATGTGTCATTCGTGACCGTGATCTCTCAAACACATGTGTCATTCGTGACCATGATCTCTCAAACACATGTGTCATTCGTGACCGTGATCTCTCAAACACGTGTGTCATTCGTGACCGTGATCTCTCAAACACATGTGTCATTCGTGACCGTGATCTCTCAAACACATGTGTCATTCGTGACCGTGATCTCTCAAACACATGTGTCATTCGTGACCGTGATCTCTCAAACACATGGGTCATTCGTGACCGTGATCTCTCAAACACATGTGTCATTCGTGACCGTGATCTCTCAAACACATGTGTCATTCGTGACCGTGATCTCTCAAACACATGTGTCATTCGTGACCGTGATCTCTCAAACACATGTGTCATTCGTGACCATGATCTCTCAAACACATGTGTCATTCGTGACCGTGATCTCTCAAACACATGGGTCATTCGTGACCGTGATCTCTCAAACACATGTGTCATTCGTGATCGTGATCTCTCAAACACATGTGTCATTCGTGACCGTGATCTCTCAAACACATGTGTCATTCGTGACCATGATCTCTCAAACACATGTGTCATTCGTGACTGTGATCTCTCAAACACATGGGTCATTCGTGACCGTGATCTCTCAAACACATGTGTCATTCGTGACCGTGATGTCTCAAACACATGTGTCATTCGTGACCGTGATCTCTCAAACACATGTGTCATTCGTGACCGTGATCTCTCAAACACATGTGTCATTCGTGACCATGATCTCTCAAACACATGTGTCATTTGTGACCGTGATCTCTCAAACACATGTGTCATTCGTGACCGTGATCTCTCAAACACATGTGTCATTCGTGACCGTGATCTCTCAAACACATGTGTCATTCGTGACCGTGATCTCTCAAACACATGTGTCACTCGTGACCGTGATCTCGTCGGGGGCGCTGCACGGTGGGGCGGCGGCGCTGCAGCCGCTGCTGCACGCCTACCCCTTCACCACGGACAAGCACTCCCTCGCACACTCCCACGCCATGGCCCACGCCCGCACAGGGGGGCGCGACGATGACGACGATGAGGGGGATGAGGCATGGGGTGCGGGTGGGGGCGGGAGCGGGGAAGAGGGGTTGAGAGGGGAGGGGGGAGGGGCGTTGGCAGGGGTGGAGGGGCGCAAGACGCTGCTGGCGGCGGTGGACTATGAGATGTGTCGCGGGGCAGCGCTGCTCGTCACCAACAACAATGGCAACATGGCCCACCTGTTAGCGGGCCACAGAAGGTGCTGCCTTGGGGGGAGGTGCTGCCTTGGGGGGACTTGCTGTCCTGGGAGCATGCGAGCTTCGCAAGCCGTTTGACTGCTGTTTGCCTCTTTTCCCTGTCCTCAATAAGCCAATATTTCTCCCCCGCACACCTCTACCACAACAGCTCTCTTCCCCTCCCTCTCCCTCCACGTCTCCCCCACCTCATCCCCTTCCCCGCCGCATGCGGCCACCCATAGGTACAACGGGGTGGGCGGCACGGTGCACCTCTTTGGCTCCTCCATCCACCGCCTCCTTGCTGCCGTCCAACATGGGGATCACGAGGCTGCTCAGAAGCTTCGCAATCGGCTGCTCAAGGGCGACCTGAGTAGTGAGAGGGAGAGCAATGAGAAGGCTGCAGCGAGAGGAGGGTTTTACGCATTTCCACGGGATTGTTTGTGTCAAGTCTGATTTTCCGTTGCCTTCCGTAGTGTTACCAGCTGATCATGATTCTTGATGCGGAACGGAATGTTACCTATCCATGAGCTGAGTGCTCACATTTCTCACCAGCAGTGCCCACACCGCAACCCGTTGGCTCCACACGAGGTCACAGAAAGGTCAAGCAAAAGGACCATGGGAGCATGGCAGGGCATGACTTGGGTCATGCAGGTGCAGGAGTTGGGAAAGGGGAGCTTGGGGCAAATATGCAGGTGGCGTGTGCGCCGCACACAGCCTATAGCACTCGTGGGGAGAAGGGCAGTCAGCAGCTGATTTGGAGCGAGAACGCCTTGTGTGTGCCATGAGGCAGGCATACATAAAGAACAATGGTGCTGTTGCCCAGGGGTAAGCGGGTTCAGGGTTTAGGGGGTGAAGGTTCTGGCAAGAAAAAAGGGCAGGGTAATGTGAAGAGAAGAAAATGAATGTGAATGGAAAGCTATGCAATGCAGGTGACCATGTGCTGGCGTGAATGAAGCGGTTCAGTTGAGTTACGCGGGAGCAACACAGAATGCAATTCGTTGAATCGGAATTGGTACAGTGGATCAGTAATGGTACTCACATGCACAGGGGCAGGCAGACTCAGGCAGGGAGGCTCCTCTTCATGCCTCGTGTCACAGCTCGTCTCACCTGCTCCCACACATGGTACCGTCATCGCCCGGATATAAGACATATATGTATTATCTCGTTATGGGCAAAAATGCTTGAGTTATCTTGTAAACGGGATGGTTTAGGGTGTCTTATGAGTCTTATAAATGGAAACAATTTTAAGTTGACTGTAACACTTGCAAAGTGTGTAGAAACCACCCAAGGACCAGATTCATTGAAATAGGCCGACCTCGGTGGTGATGCATGCAGCGCCCACACTTGCCACGTGAGGGAGCTGCCACCGCTGGCAACATTCCTCTGTGCTGGCAGCATCTAATGATGCTGCCAGCGTCGTTTTGCTGCCAGCAGCGCAGGGATGCTTCCAGAACGCTGCTGGCAGCACGTTGGCAGCGTGAGGGCTGTCCTCTACGAGGAGATGCCTCGTAGAGGAGCGGCTCGGCACCTGTGGATGGGGCACTCTGGCTGGGGGGGGTAGTCGGGCTCTCACTTCATTTCGTGCTCAAGGAGGTTGAATACTCGTCTCAACCTTGCTCTTGGCAGGCTCTCTAACCATGCGCAGCAAAGTACCAGTAGGCAAGTCCTCACCTCGTCCTCACGTGCAGGTGAATAACTACGGGCGAATTAACTCGCCCGGCGATGACATCCGTGTAGCCATGGCGAAGAACGCGAGCAAGGCGGGAAGTCCTACCGCCGCCTCCGGTGCGAGCTGTGACGGGGACTACGGAGACGAAGCGAACGGCGACGACGCCGAGGAGGATTGGCCGGAGAACGGCCACTACGACAGCGCTTCGGGCGACGAATTAGGTCCTGCCGACATCGAGGAGGACGAATGGTGGAATCGGCCAGTCGGGAGCGACGACGAGGTGGAAGAGTGGCGGGCTGGTGATTCCGACAACGACGGAGGTGAAGATGCGCATGGTGACAACGCGGAGGCAGCGGCGGATGCACAGGAAGCGGCGGTGGATGCGAATGAGGAGGCTGACGACGAGGCGGGGGCGGAACTTGAGACAGTTGCGCCTGCGGATGCGGATGCTGTGGCGGAGTCGGACAAGGTTGCTGCGGATGCCGTCTTATTTGACGAGGAAGGCGGCGACGACGACCCATGGAGCCTTGGGACCGACGACGACGTTCCGCTACTGAAGCGGAGGCTGCGCCATCGCCTACAGTCCAAGTCGAAGCGGGCCCGCGTGGTGCTCGCTGACGACGACGGTCCGGGGGAGGAGCGTCGCCCGATACTCACCGCTGCGGAGAAGGGGAAAGCCAAGGTCGCGGAAGCCCCTGCTAGGCCCCTGCTAAGGCCCCTGCTCGTCGCCGCACAAGCAACAAGAAGCGGACATCCGACGGAGACCCGGGATCCAGCAAGGGTGCGGCTAAGAAGAAGGCGCCGAATCCTGACGACATTGTCGTGAACGAGACGCTGGGCAGTGACGATGAGTACGCGGCGGCGGCGGGCCCGATTCCCACGTTCCCTGTGAAGGTCATGCCGAAGGACCCCACCCTCCATAATCCCAACACCCGCCCACCTTCCCCTCGCAGCAAAGACACTAAGAAGAAGCGCCGCAGTTGGACCGTGCGTGAGAAGCTTAAGTGGGCGCGCCGCTATCAGGAGCTCGGCTCCTTGAAGAAGATGAGCGTGGAGTCAACCGCGTCCATCGCCTGCATCAGACGCTGGTGTGCGGAGGCGGAAGCGGGCGTCTACAAGGGCGCGGCTAACTGCCGCAAGCGGATGCACGGGAGGGGGGGGCGCCACTCACACTACCCCGACATGGAGGCAGCGTTGTACCGCTACTATTGCCTTCAGCGCGCTAACGGGGTGGCCATCTCGGTGAAGGACACCCAGAAGTGGAGCCGCGAGTGGATGAAGAAGCATTACCCCGGCAAGAAATGGAACGCGAGCTCTCACTGGAGCCAGCGTTTCCGTGACCGCTGGAACCTGGTGATGAGGGTGAAGACCAAGGTCGGCCAACATCTGTCGGCAAGTGCGTGTTGAAGGATTTCGTGTCGCGCTATTGAATGCATGTACCTCACCCAGTGTCTAACCATCCCGTGCTTCCGTTGCGCTTGTCCCGTTTGCAGAGTGCGCGAAGGACTGCGAGTCCTTCTGGAAGTTCGTGCGCATCAACAGGGCGCGGCACAACATCGACCTGGCCCGCATCATCAACGCGGACCAGACTCCACTATTCGTGGAGATGCCAGCCGAACGGACGATCGAGCACCGTGGCGCGCGCTCGGTCCCAATCCGCACTGCAGGCTACCAGAAGATGCGCTTGACGGTGATGCTCGCGTGCACTGCATCCGGGGAGAAGCTACGGTTGTGGGTGTGGTTCAAGATGAAGAACGTCCCCAACTGTGAGATTCCGGAAGGTAAGCGTAATGAATTCAACCGTGCGACTGCCTGATGAGCGTGCCCCACTGTGTTGATGCCCGTCTGTCCCTTGTGTGCCTGGCAGGAATCTTGGTCCAAGCACAGGACAACGGGTGGATGGACGAGAGCTCTGTGCAGACCTGGCTGTCCAAGGAGGTGCTGCCCCATCTGAACCCCCAGCGCGGCCAGAACGCAAGGCGGGTGATGCTGGTGTTGGACTCCTACCGCGCTCACGTTGTTATAGTCACAATAGGCTTGAATGTGCCTAAAACGAAAGATAGAGAGCACAGACGGATTTCTGCACAGCGGCTTCAAACGTTGATAGCGTTCTGCTCACAGCTGCAAATGACTTGATTCAAATTGGATCTGGAGCGTCTTCACGTCGTCTACAATTAGCAATTTAGATTGCACGATTTGATAAAGAATTGACGACTCAGCGTCGGTTTGAACGAACGGTACTATGGCAGCCACTATAGTCTTAGAACACAAGATAGGAAGAGTTACGAATTGGGAATGACTCCCAGCTCCTACAAACCCCAAGAGCCGAGGTACAGTGATGTGGAACAGTGCCACACTGTCCCCAACCACGAAGGGTCTCGAAACTACCCTTCACTAGGGCCTACACCAAGTGAAATGTTACACTACACAAAGTAATGTAACTATCTTCAATATCTTGAGGTGTACCCTTTTTTGGCGAGCTTCGAAATCACTTGAAGCTTGACACCAAGGCTCGGGCTCTTCATCACAAACTCATCCTTGAGTTCTTGATGGGTCTGCTGCACACACCTGCGACACGCCGAACGTTCGACACAGGACAAAATAGAAACCGCGCACGACAAAATAGAAACCGCGCGCGAGACACAAACGACCGCGTAACACGCGTCTAGCGATAACTCGCTATTGACTCGACACACACACTCGACATCATGACTCAACATTCACACACAATTATAAGCATGAAATATATATTATCCCATGCCCTCATACCATTCCATACACACACACATTCACGCACACGGACAACAAGCCGAGTGCAAACCGTAGGGTTGCACCAACAAACTCCCCCTCGGATTGTTGGCCTTAGGATATGTTGCTCTCTCAGTTCAGAGCCATCCCAGCCAGCTTGCAACACTTCCAATGCTGCTGCTCCACCAGCCTCTTGGTCATCATGTCAGCCGGCTGCCCCGTGGTCTTCACGTAGCGCAACTCAACTTCACCCGCGGTTACCATGCTCCTCGTCCAATGCCACTTCACCCTCATGTGCTTCGTGAGTCCATGCAACACAGGGTTCTTAGCAAGAGCAATGGCACCCTGGCTGTCACAGTACAGTGGGGTAGGTCCTTGCTGCTCCTCCCCCAATTCAGCCAACAAACGCCGCTGCCACACAATCTCCCGTACGGCACGGAAGAGTGCCATGTACTCGGACTCCACTGAGCTCAAAGCTTGGTCAACCTGCTTCTTGCTCTCCCAAGCAGTTGGGCCTCCACCAACACAGCATATGAAGCCTCCCACACTTGTCATGTCCTCTGGTTCTGATGCATATGAAGCATCCGAGTAGGCGGTGAGGAACAAACGCCCGGGTTCAACACCATCCGCGCCCTTTTGGCGCCTTTGTGCCGCCGCCGAGTATTGCAGCCCAACGGTCGGTGTTTGGCCAAGATACTTGGCCACCCTCATTCCAGCTGCTACCTGCTCCTCATTAGGGCATTACACAACCCTAGCCAGCTGCCCGGTGTAGCCACATGGCCTTCACTCTGCCCAAAGTTGGCAGCCAATGCCTCCAGGTACTTTCGTTGATGCACCCGCATGCACCGCTTCTCCACATCTCGTTCGATGTGGAGCCCAAGGTAGAAGCTCACGTCACCAAGGGCCTTGCACTTGAACTTGTCTTGAAGCTTCAGCATCACCTCCTTCACAAGGTCAGAAGAGGGTGAGAAAATGAGGATGTCATCCACATAAACCACCATGAAACTCCTCTGCTCCCCCTCGCCAAGCATGAACA